ATTAAAAGAGGCTAATAGCCAAACTGAAAACGGGCCCCAAACAACCAAAAACGTCTATGCATTCATCTAGGAGCCATAGCTAGCAATATCGGATGATAAAACCAGACAAAGTAGCTATACACTAAAGGTTGATATTGGGAAGAAGTGAACGAAAATATGTAGAATAACATAAGTACGTTTCAGACTAGCATAATGGTGACACTTAGATATATTGTTAAAATCCTGACCAGTGCGTAGCGAAAAAACGATCAGGTAGCCAAAGCATTAACCAAATAATTAGTAAGCAAGCCAAAAAAGCGAACAAGCAATGTGTCAGAAAAATAAAAATTAGCCGACATGATGAATAGACATAATAGCTCGCCTAGTCTGAATCGGGTTCTCAAGAGTCAATACATCAGATGGCTTGATTTTTCGGATGATTTCTTTCTACAATTTAACCCAAGAGAGGATGAATTACAGTTCATAACTACCATGGATCCCAAAAACACCAATAAAGAGAAAAGATGTCGAGTGAAATACATCGATTGGAAACTCAAAGCAGCCAGAAAGACCAAGTAAAGTGAATTAATTGGATCTAGAAACAATTAATATATTCGAACACCACCAATATCTCATCGACATTGTTATCTCTATATAAATTCATAATGAAAAAGTGTAAATAGAAAATGAGCTAGACTTACCATAGTTACTATCATAAAGGTTGCTATAATCCATAACAATCAGCCGTCCAACGTTGCTGATAAGTCTCGTTGTCAGATAAACGCAAAGACAAAACCGGGAATTCTCAAGGTCATCAGAAAGCTCCAGAGTTATATTTACTTCGGGGGATAGGTTGTAATTCTGGTGGTCAACTCCAAGGCAAATCGGTCGAATGACATGCTCGTTGGGCGTAGTATCAGCAGTCACGTCAGCAGTACCGGATGACTTTCTCATAGCTACTGCCGAGAGGACATGGCGAAGCCTATCATTTATAGCCTGCTCTTTTTTAAGCGAGGATTTGTATGGCCCTCGTATAAGACCACGAAGAGGATTTCCGTTACCACTAACTTTAGCTGGCGGCTGAATACATCCATGAGACTGAAAAAAATTTAGCTCCTTCGAATACCTTTGCCTAAGAGCAGAAAATGATTTTCTCGGAAGAGAATAGTTCCTCCGTACAATGGAAATTGGGACTTTTTGGAAATTCTGAAGATGGACAGAGAGACAAGCTTCAGGAAGAAGCAAGTCTGAAAAACGGCAATATAGTTGGTCAAGGTTACTTTGGGCTAATTCCCGGAAAAACTCGCTAAGAGCGCAGTGATTTGCATGATATTGTGAAAAGAAGCTTGTTGAATCCTCGCCATTAGGACTACATGCTAGAGAAAATTTAATCAAAAAGAAAAACACAGAAATGACCTACATTATGACAGGAATATTCAAGGGGCAGATTCACAATAATTGCATTACCATTATCTATAATTTATATTCTGACGGAAGGAAAACAAGTATTGAATGCTAGATGGTTAGGCCTTGATGCAATTATACTCCTTAGTAATAGGTCATTCTGATAAAACTTAGTAGAAGCTCCTTTGCTTAGTCAACAAAATAACCTAGAATTTATGCATAGACGTTGCACTTGATGCTTAATTTCAAAATAATAAACTTCAAACATTAAAATACTCTATTTTTTCATCTGTACGAAGACAGCCTCAAATAGGATTTACTTCAAAAAGTAAAAAGTAAGCATCTTCATTGCAACTCAAATGCATCTAATATTCGAAGGTTTTAACTTAGTTAACATACAAAAATGATTAAAAGAAAATGGTAAACGATTCAATTATTAGAACGTAGAA